TCACGATTTAACGGTTATTTTAACTCCGATTTTGATGATTTTTTACAGCTACACTCATTGACCCTATATGAATACAATGAATGAATTCGATCTTCAATTTAAAATATTTACACAAGTGGATACCACAAAATCTTATGTTATACTTAATGAAAGTATAAATAAACTCTAAGTGTTAGTCAATCTATTGTTTTGATGGGATACGAATTCTCCGAAACAAATTTCAACGATCCCAACTGTCAAATTTGTTTGTATATGCTTCGAGATCACATCAGCAAAAAAATCACAAAAAACAAACATTCAGAGATCAAGTAACGGGACAAAACTTTTCAACAGTTATAAACGAAAAATCGCGATTTAACGGTTATTTTAACTCCGATTTTGATGATTTTTTACAGCTACACTCCTTGTCCTTATATGCATACAATGAATGAATTCGATCTTCAATTTAAAATATTTACAAAAGTGGATACCACAAAATCTTATGTTATACTTAATGAAAGTATAAATAAACTCTAAGTGTTAGTCAATCTATTGTTTTGATGGGATACGAATTCTCCGAAACAAATTTCAACGATCCCAACCGTCAAACTTGTTTGTATATGCTTCGAGATCACATCAGCAAAAAATCACAAAAAACAAACATTCAGAGATCAAGTAACGGGACAAAGCTTTTCGACGGTTATAAACAAAAAATCACGATTTAACGGTTATTTTAACTCCGATTTTGATGATTTTTTACAGCTACACTCCTTGACCCTATATGAATACAATGAATGAATTCGATCTTCAATTTAAAATATTTACACAAGTGGATACCACAAAATCTTATGTTATACTTAATGAAAGTATAAATAAACTCTAAGTGTTAGTCAATCTATTGTTTTGATGGGATACAAATTTTCTGAAACAAATTTCAATGATCCCAACCGTCAAACTTGTTTGCATATGCTTCGAGATCACATCAACAAAAAATCACAAAAAACAAACGTGATATTTTATGTATTTTAAATATCAATTAGACTATATTTCAATTCATGTGTGATGATATTTTATCATAAAAATATATTATTGTTTTATCATATAATTATATTATTGTTTTTTATTATGTATTAAATATTATGTATTAAAATATTATATGAGATAACTTGAAATATTTTTGGCGGGAATGAATGTTTGAAATGTTTTAGACGGGAATGAATGTTTGAAATGTTTGAAATATTTTTGTGTGTCAGACTTTGCGTTGGTTTTAACCGACGCAACGATTTCTTATTTGTTTTAGACGGGAATGAATGTTTGAAATGTTTGAAATATTTTTGTGTGTCAGACCTTGCGTTGGTTTTAACCGACGCAACGATTTCTTATTTCGACGCAAAGATGTCCCTACTCCGACGCCACGACCTTTTAGTCAAAAGTGTGTCAGGCTGCTTGTATGTAGGTCGTGTCAGAGATAGTGTCGGTTTAAATCGACGCAAAGTTCAATTATTCCGACGCTACTGACAATTATTCCGACGCAATGTTCAATTATTCCGACGCTAGTGACAAATATGTCAGTTTGTCAGAGATAGTGTCGGTTTTGACCGACGTAACATGTTCATATTTCGACGCTAAGTTTTAATCCATATTCAAACCCCCTTGTTTCCCATTACTTTCGTGCTTCCATTTCTGTCTCTCATTTCTGTCTCGTTTACTCCCTCTCCTTCTCCCATTTCAGCCTTACTCCCTCCCCCATTTCTTCCATACTCCTGCTCCTTCCACTAACTTGTGCTATGTATAATTCTAGTGAGATCAACGCTCTGACGAACATCATTTGGAAGATGAGGAGTTCGAAGCCAGTACTTTTTTGAATTATTATTAAATTCAGTTTTTGTTTTGTGTTTAAACTTATATTATGCTTAAACTGAAAATTTACTTTACTTTCCTGGTTTTTAATTGTTTTTTTTTTTTGTATTAATAAGGAACATCTCAACGGAGGCGCGGATCCTCAATTCCCAAATGGACGAAACAACTTTGTTCGTTTGATTCTTCCGGCAAATGCATTAGTGACAATTCTAGTACTTTTGCAAAATATGTAGCAGGGAGGTTAGAGACCACAGAAATATTCCGTTGGTGAGTGATTGGCGTAAGATTAAGGAAGAAGATAAGGAAGTTTTCTGGAATAGAATAAAGGTATAGATATTTTTATTTTTACTTGAAAATAGAAGAACAAGTCAATGATAGTAATAATAATTGGTTAGCTTGTTTTTTTTTTTTTTTTTTTTTTTTTAATTTTTTTTATGGATGTAGGGAAATATTTTTTTTGAAGATGCAGATATAGTAAAAATGTCTATGATCCGCCATATGACGCTTAAGGTTGCGGAGCATGCGCACAAAGAGTTTAGAAATAAGTTAAAAAAAAAATTTATACTAACAAAGCAGCGGAGGTGCGCAGCCACCCTCCTTGCGAAGTGAATCCTGCACAATGGGTTGCATTGGTGGCTTACTGGAATAGAGAAAAAACAAAGGTAATCGTTATGATTTATTTCATTATCACTTTAAATTTGTCTAAAAATTTCTGTTTTTTTTTTCAGGAGGTTGCTGAAAAAAAAAAAGATTAATAGGCAAAAGAAAACAATGAACCATACTACTGGAATCAAATCTTTTGTAAGAGTGCGGCAAGAATTTGTACGGATTGTAAATTTTGGCACTATTTGTATGGATGAGTTTTTGTATATTATGTGGAATGTTAAATAAAAAATATTAGTATATTTTGGCACTATTTTTCTTGTTAATTATTTTTATTAATGTTTGATTTGGCCTATACTTAAATTTATTATTTTGGTTATATAGTTTTTTTTAGTTACAATTAATTGGAAACAAGTGCAGATTCTCAATTTTTTTTTATTATTATTAACAAAGGTAGTGTCGGTTAAGAGCGTCACTAGTTTGAATATTTTATTTTATTAATTGTTATCGGACGTCGGTTTAAGGATATTCAAATAGTTTATTTTATCATGATGTCGGATAAAACCGACACTAGGTTGGATATTATATAGTTTATTTTATTAGTTTATGTCGCTTTGAACCGACACTAGGTTGAATTATACGTCGCTTTAAATCGACGTCAGCTTCAGTGTCGCTTTTAACCGACGCTGAGTAGTGGCGGATTAAGCGTACAAACCGACACTGAAGCTCTTTTGTGACGCAAGCATTAGTGTCGCTATTCCAATCCGACATTACATTGTTTTATGTCGGATTTTTGCCAAATTACCGACATAAATTGGATGTCTTGTCGGTTTTAGCTCCGCCGGGGATAGCTTGTATTGTAGTAGTGAAAACATACTTTCCTTAAAATGCATTTTTGGGAAATATATCAAGTATATAAATATATACTAAAAACAAAAGCCCACTCATTGGTATGTCGAAGGGTCGTAGCCCCCGAGTCGCCCATGGATACGCTCGTCCTCGGGATAGGTCTCACCTATATGCGAATTAACTATAAAAATGTTATTTTAAAGCACATAGACAAAACTAGCTAATAACTTCTCATACGTTACTCAAATTGGGTATATGAATATACCACAGTGATTTACACAACCTCAGGATCATCCCTAAATTTTCAAAATAATTTTTTGACCCCGCACGCGCCACCACGTGCAGGGAATCCTGCAGATTCCCTAACTGCAGTTAGGAATATTCCTCGGAATATTTTGTTAAAACACAACGGAAACCGTCCAAACTAACTGACGCCGTGAGATATTCCGTCAAATTTGACGGAATATTCTTCCATCTCCTACCTCCAGCTCCGGCAACCTTCGTCGGCATCGGAAACTGGTCAATTTTTGAAACTCCTTAATCTCGCTCATTTCTTCACCACTTTTCATGCAATTTATACCAAAACGAAGCTAGGGACATCTATGTTTGTACCATAATTAGGGCCTTCGTATTTAGACCTTGTATAAATACTCGGGGGATTTAAAGGTAATTATGTAATAAAGGAAGGGGCAAATCTGTAATAAGTGAAGAACCCTTATTCTATAAAAGGACCCCTCACCCTCACAATTAGAGAGACCAATTCTTAGGCCTAACCCCTTATCCTCTCAAAACTCTGACTCTCATTCAGAGCTCCCTCTCCTTCACAATACTCTCAGAGAAATACAATTCAGTGTGGACGTAGCCCAAACCTTGGGGTGAACAACGATACATCTTGTGTTATTTACATTTCTTGCAGTTTCACAGTCGAATTTACGTTGTTCCAAGACCTCCGGTTTTATGCATCAACATTTGGCGCCGTCTGTGGGAATCGACACAAAAAACTATGTCGGTTCTCTTTCATTTTTTCATCAAATTTCACCACTGTCCACCAAGAATCTGCAAAATCCAAGAAACCAAACACCTACATAATGGCAGAGGAGGACCCGGATATTTATGGGAGATAAGGACCCATATCTGCTAACACATTCCAAACACTCATTCTCTTTCTCCTTTGTATCTTCTTTCTGTTCTTCGTTTACCACAGTTCTTGATCTCTGAAATGATCCACCACCATGGCGCACCAAGCCGAATCGTCCGATTGGAAGAAGAAAGACTTGTGGACGGCAATTCTAAGGCGGAAGAAGTCGATGAACTGTCTCGTCGTTGATGAGGCTGTAAACGACGATAACTATGTCGTTGCAATGAATCCTGAAACCATGGAAAAGCTACAGCTTATCCGTGGCGACACCATCCTCATCAAGGTAGACTAAAGGCGTTTTCGAGTGGGAAATAAAACCGGCACTGCTTCATTTACAGAGCCTAAGATCCCGCCTCAGATCTGCCTCAACCAATGGATACGTCAGAGTCTAGAGCTCATAACCCAAGTGCTGCTGCTTCCCATTTGATTGAGGCGGCCCGAGCTTACGACAGGGAGGCTCGAGCTTACGACCTATCTGAGAAAACCATAAAATGGCGATTGGTTCGCAGGTGTGATGAGTTCCTCGAAGAGCAAGGGTGACGAAAGACCACGGTTCTTCGATTCAAAAACAAAGTTGTGGTCATCTGCTTTATTGTCATCTATTCAATCAAACCTTCCTTTCTGAATTTGTTTATCTCAAATTCCAAAAATGTCGTTGTGCTGCGGTGGTAAATGTGGTTGCGGGTCTAGCTGCGGTTGCGGCAGTGGCTGCAACGGGTGCGGGATGGCTCATGATCTGAGCTACATCAAGGGGTCCACCACTAAGACCCTTGTCATGGGAGTTGCTCCCCAGAAGTCGCACTTTGAGGCATCTGAGATAGAAGTTGTAGCTGAGAACGGATGCAAGTGCGAGGATAGCTGCACCTGCAACCCCTGCAAGTGCACCAAGTGAGTGACAGATGTCACCTTCTGACGAAGCAAGAGAATCATGGGGCTTTTATGTTTAGCAGTAGTAATCTATGTGTACGACAAGATTGGGTGAAATATAATTATGCTCAACTCTATTCTCTCATAATAGCCGGGCGATAATCGCTAGTCACCTACGAGTTGGAACCATGAATAAGGTCTGTACGACAAGACTGTGCACTTAAATTGGATCCAATATGAGCATATAGTGCGGGAGGTGACGTACATAAACAGGCCTGTACTTTATATCTCTGGCTAAATCTCAATCACCCTAGGTGCAGTTTTATGAGCTCAACATCATTTCACATATCACATCATCGATGATTCACATAGCCAAACATAATTTACCTGAACTTACATGTGCCTCCACAGCACCACATTTATATATATATATATATATATATATATATATATATGCAACCATGAAATGCATATTCAGAATATAAACGCATATGACATATTATTTCAAAACATACTTTCCTTAAAATGCATTTTTGGGAAATATATCAAGTATATAAATATATACTAAAAACAAAAGCCCACTCACTGGTATGTCGAAGGGTCGTAGCCCCCGAGTCGTCCGTGGATACGCTCGCCCTCGGGATAGGTCTCACCTATATGCGAATTAACTATAAAAACGTTATTTTAAAGCACATAGACAAAACTAGCTAATAACTTCTCATACGTTACTCAAATTGGGTATATGAATATACCACAGTGACCTACACAACCTTAGGATCATCCCCATTTTCAAAATAATTTTCTGACCCCGCACGCGTCGGCCAAGGCACGGTAATACGCGCCACCATGCGCAGGGAATCCTGATGGATTCCCAAACAGTTAGGAATATTCCTCGGAATATTTTGTTAAAACACAACGGAAACTGTCCAAACTAACTAATGCCGTGAGAATATTCCGTCAGATTTGATGGAATATTCTTCCATCTCCTATCTCCAGCTCCGACAACTGTCGCTAACGTCGGAAACTGGGCAATTTTTGAAACTCCTTAATCTCGCTCATTTCTTCACTATTTTTCGTGTAATTTATACCAAAATGAAGCTAGGGACATCTATGTTTGTACCATACTTAGGGCCTCCGTATTTAGACCTCGTATAAATACTCGGGGGACTTAAATGTAATTATGTAATAAAGGAAGGGCCAAATATGTAATAAGTGAAGATCCCTTATTCTATAAAAGGACCCCTCACCCTCACAATTAGATAGGCCAATTCTTAGGCCTAACCCTTCATCCTCTCAAAACTCTGACTCTCATTCAGAGCTCCCTATCCTTCACAATACTCTCAGAGAAATACAATTCACTGCAGACGTAGCCCAAACCTTGGGTGAACCACGATACATCTTGTGTTATTTACATTTCTTGCAGATTCATGGTCGGATTTACGTTGTTCTAAGACCTTCGGTTTTGTGCATCAACATTTGGCGCCGTCTGTGGGAATCAACACAAAAAACTATGTCGGTTCTCTTTCATTTTTTTCATCAAATTTCACCACTGTCCACCGAAGAATCTGCAAAATCCAAGAAACCAAACACCTACAGAATGGCAGAGGAGGACCCGGATATTTAGGGGAGATAAGGACCCAGACCTGCTAACACATTCCAAACACTTATTCTCTCTCTCCTCTTTCTGTTCTTCGTTTACCACAGTTCCTAATCTCTGAAATGATCCACTGCCATGGCTCACCAAGCCAAATCGTTTGACTAGAAGAATGAAGACTTGTGGACGGTAATTCTGGGGCAGAAGAAGTCGACGAACTGTCTCGTCGTTGATGAGGCTGTAAACGACGATAACTCCGTCGTTGCAATGAATCCCGAAACCATGGAAAAGCTACAGCTTATCTATGGCGACACCATCCTCATCAAGGTAGACTAAAGGCGCTTTCGAGTGGGAAATAAAACCAGCGCCGCTTCATTTACAGAGTCGAAGATCCCGTCTCAGATTTGCCTCAACCAATGGATACGTCAGAGTTTGGAGCTCATAACCCAATTGCTACTGCTTCCAATTTGATTGAGGCGGCCCGAGCTTACGAATGGGAGACTCGAGCTTATGACCTATTTGAGAAAACCAAAAAATGGCGATTGGTTCGCAGGTGTGATGAGTTCCTTGAAGAGCAAGGGTGACGAAAAACCACAGTTCTTCGATTCAAAAACAGAGTTGTGGTCATTTGCTTTATTGTCATCAATTTAATCAAACATTCCCTTCTAAATTTGTTTATCTCCAATTCCAAAAATATCGTCGTGCTGCGGTGGTAAATGTGGTTGTTAGTCCGGCTGCAGCTACGGCAGTGGCTGCAACGGGTGCGGGATAGCTCCTGATCTGAACTATATGGAGGGGTCCACCACTAAGACCCTTGTCATAGGAGTTGCTCCCCAGAAGTCGCACTTTGAGGCATCTGAGATGGGAGTTGCAGCTGAGAATGGATGCAAGTGCGGGGATAGCTGCACCTGCAACCCCTGCAAGTACACCAAGTAAGTGACAGATGTCACCTTCTGATGAAGCAAAAGAATCATGGGGCTTCTATGTTTAGCAGTAGTAATCTATATGTTGAGTTCGCACGGACTCCTGGCGGCCGCTGCCGCCACGGTTCCCCAATACCTTATAGTGGGCGTTGTGCGGGGTTGCGGTTTTGCTCTTCGTTTTTAGTTTGAGCATAGTGAATCAGATGGAGTCTAAGCCTGTCATTCCTATGAGGTTCAGGAATGATAGAGTTATGGAAGACCTTAATATTACCGACGAAATGCCGAGCCCCAACTCAGTTTCAAGGCAGCTCAATAACCAAATTGCTCATGCAAAAGCTTTTGTTGTGATTGCCAAAGAAAGTAACAACCTTCAGTTTGCTTGGGAATTAAGTGCCCAGATTCGTAGTTCGCAAATCCTGTTGTCAAAAGCTATAACCAAGCGAGTTCATCTGACTATTAGAGAAACAAAAACTGCAATCCGTGATATGGCGTTTATACTTTACCAAGCACACCATCTCCATTATGATAGTGCAACCATGATTATGAGACTGCAAGCCAAAATCCAAACTCTGGAAGAACAGATGAGTTCGGTGAGAGAGAAAAAGTTAAGAACTTTATTTAGTCGACCACCCACATGGTGATCTTCTGTCGACCACCCACATGCAAAAAAGGGAAGTTCTGCTCTACGAGAGCACATGGGAAACAAAAACAAAAGCAACAAAGAGGTAGAGGAAAGGCAAAAGCAATCCAGTGAGCTGGGGAAACAAAAGCAAAAGCAAGGAATAAAAAGAGAAAGCAAAGGATTATACTTTTGCTTTTGTCGACCACCAAAGCAGAAGATGCCATCAACTTTTGAAAAAGAAAACTTTCATCATGCATGTTCCCACTTTTATAAAGAAGCCACTGGAATACGCACATGGAAAAAGATCTGCAACAACCCAGTACGCAGTAGGTGCAGTACGCACCAACGATCTGCAACTGTCGAAACCCTTACTTTGAATGATGTAATTTATTTTCCTTATTTTTCGAAGACATCTGTATAAACCCCATCAGAGGGTAATCACAAAAACAAAACAAAAAAGGCAAGCCCAAAATAATGGGCTGGAATGTGGTGTAAAAGGCGAAGGCCCATATGCCTAAAAAAGATAGACCCTCTATTATCACCAACCAGGTGATCAAAAGTACATCCAGTGCTATAAAAAAATATTCGACAGCCTGCCGCTATTACCACCAACCAGGTGATCAAAAGTACGCCTAGTACTCCAAAATTATTCGGCAACTTGCTGCTATTATCACCAACCAGGTGATCAAAAGTACGTCCAATACTCCAAAATTATTCGACAACCTGCCGCTATTATCACCCACTAGGTGATCAAAAGTACATCCAGTACTCCAAAATTATACATAAGCATTACTCATGTCATTCATACATAAGCATTCATGAGCATCACTCATGATAATCATATATAAACATTCATGACCATCATTCATGTCAACATTTCTGAGCATCACTCATGTCAAAACATCCATGAGCATCACTCATGTCAATCAACATAAACATCCATGAGCATCACTCATGTCAATCAGCTTCGAAAGCTTCATTTACAGAGCTCTAGCTTCAAAAGCTTCATTTACAAACGCTCCAGCTTCAAAAGCTTCATTTACAAAGCTCCAACTTCAAAAGCTTCACTTGCAAAGCTTCACCTACAAAGCTTTAGTGTAGGGTATACAAATATCGCCTCCGAACAACCGCCACTTTGGCCCATACATGGATTCAATTTGAAGTCTCCAGCCAACAGACTTTCTTGACTGAAGACTTTGAGGACTACTGTTTGTATCATACTTAGGGCCTCCGTATTTAGATCTCGTATAAATACTCAGGGGACTTAAAAGTAATTATGTAATAAAGGAATGGGCAAATATGTAATAAGTGAGGAGCCTTTATTCTATAAAATAACCCCTCACCCTCATAATTATAGAAGCCAATTCTTAGGTCTAACCCCTCATCCTCTCAAAGCTTTGACTCTCATTCAGAGCTCATCTCCTTCACAATACTCTCAGAGAAATACAATTCAGTGTGGACGTAGCCCAAACCTTGGGGTGAACCACGATACATCTTGTGTTATTTACATTTCTTGCAGATTCACGGTCGGATTTACGTTGTTCCAAGACCTCCGGTTTTGTGCATCAACAATCTACAATCACGTTATACCATTTTAAAGCTCTAAAAGTCACGGGATCTCACCAAGAAATTCCAAGAAAAACCGGCCAAACTTCATCCACACGATCCCGACGTCCAAAACCTTCAAATGAAGCACTCCGAGCTTCCTTGGGACTTCACTAAGCTTCCTACAAGCTTAAAATTTCCAAAAACATGAGATTTAACGTTTGCATGAACAGTACCCCAAATCGTGGTTATGGTTTCGACATGAAAAGGAAGTTGCCCTTACCTGAAAATGGTCTAGATGTGTCCCTAAGCTTGTAAGGAACACGATGGTACCTTCAACGTCCTTGATCTGTCACGATTCAACGGGTTTTGGTGTTGTCCGTACACAATGCCGAGAGGGAGAAAGAGAGTGA